TAATTATATTATATAATATAAACTAGCTATATACTATATAAATTATATAATATAATTATATAATATAATATAATATAATTATATATATAAAACATATAATTATATATAAAACATATAATTATATATATAAAACAAAAAAGCTAGCTATAACTATATAAACTATATAATCTACGTTCTCTGTTTTATTGATTCAAAGACTTCAATATCAGTTTCTAAAGGTATTCTTACTTAGAAATACGTCTTTGACGAAATTTAATTCGTACAACACGAGCTCACTTCAAAATGCTCTACTTTCAAAATGAATCGTTCATTTCATTCTAAAATGTTTTTACATTCGAATGAATAAGCGAAGATATTTTTCTTCTCGAAAATATTACGTAAAAACGTCGAAAAATTTTTCTATCTACAATGGATCGAAGCCTTTATACAACGAGTATTAAAAACTTGTACGATCCTTTTCCCGTCGTTTTATTGAACGTTTGAATATGAAAGTTTCTTGAATGTTCGTCAACAATGATGAAAGAAAATCAAACCTCAAGTTCTCGTCAAGAGATGGTTGTAAAAAAGGAAGGAAATTTTTCAATGTTTCTACTATACTATGAGAAGAGAATAATATAATAAAAAAAAAACATCTGAAAATAAAATGAACGATGCATTTCGAAAATAAAAGCTTCGAACGAGTTTTATTGTTGTACAATTTTTTATTTTTATTTTTTTTTTTTCACGACAGTTTATTTAATATTAACCAGAGTCACCTGTACTTGGCAAAGGCAACTTACCGAGCAACCAAGCGCCCGGAAGTCTCCTGTACTCGACCATGAAGTACAACAGAGGGCAGCCACCATCTTGCCAGGAAGTCAACTCCAATGTAATGAACGTTTGGTTCGCCTTGATTAGCTGATGTTTCGTAGGAGCAATGGGTTTCGTTCCATTTGTCTTGGCTGACTCGACCTTGCTGGCACTTCCGCTACCAATCCTGTTGAAGGCTGCCAACGTGAACTGGTACCTGGTGCCGCACTGCAAACCTTCCAGCAGATGCGTGTTTGCTTTCCTATCGAGCATCACTTCCTCCCACTCGGAGAACTCTCGACGATAGGCCAACAAGAATCCCTTGATAGGGGCGCCTCCATTGTCGCCCTGTTTCCACTGCAGTTGGACCGCGTCGGTTGTGGTCCCGGTGGCGAGCAAAGTCGGAGGGGTTGGCGGCACTGCGCAAAGTTGCTCGAGTGAGACGGTGATTTGATCACTGGGAAACGCTTGTCAACACTGGTTAATCGCGTCGAGTTATGAATACGGGAAACGAGAAAACGAAGCTGCTTCTCTTAATCTGTATTCGATCCCACGATCTGTCTGTCTACCTATCTTTTCGTTTTATGACAAATTTCTTTCTTTCCAGATAGTAATTTTAAGATGTTCTTCTGTTTGTTAAAACTAGATACGGCAAGACTTCTACTGAAATTAAGTCACCGTAGGTAGCCATTTATCCGGATTCACTCGAACGAAATTTTAGCTGATGCTTGATTAACTGCACTTTCGTCGATTGAATCCGAACGTGAATTGCGAAAGTAATCGGGATATAGCGAGGGAAAATCGGAGTGTTATTATCATGCGAACTCCAATTACGCTGTTTGTCCCCTGACGAATTCGAATAAATGGAATCCTATCGCTCATGTTATATTCACATGTTCGGGAGAGTTTCAACTCTGAAATTGATTTATCTTTCGCCGACTTTAAATTTCTTCGTAGAGATCCCTGACTGAGCGCAACGACTGACAAACGATTTACAAGTTAACGAAACTTTCAAGGTACTTGGATGGAATTTCTAATTTACAAGAAACTGTTCGACGAATTTCCCAGAGCGAAGTTCCCAGGTGCGATCTATTCTTGCTCAGCTTGAGATACAGCGGCCGTAGCCGGCGACAGGAAGAGAAATCAGAAAACTCGGTGCACGTCGCGTCGAACATATTTTCCTCGAAATCCGTCGTCACGTACAACCGCGAGGATTCGAACGACAGGGAAATCGTATCGTCGCCGCGTTCCACGTTCGATCCTCGTAACGTTCCGCGTGACCAAGTGTTTCTGACAAAAGTATTCGACTCACACCAGTATGTAAGTGTATATTAAATCATTGACAAGGAGTCACATATCAGGGCTTGACTTTGGTTGTCCAAAAATATCAATATAAATAGACAAATGGAAATATTAACCCTTTGCACTCGGAACAATTTTTAATATAACGTATCAGCAACTCCGAGTCATTTTTTCTATCGGCTACCAACTACTCCAGGACTATTTACAAAGGCGCGAGGGCGCCTCTGTGGAATATTGAAAATCTTGCT